GTAGTATTGTGTAACCTCAAGAGACTGGGTAACCTAGGGAAAGAAATGTCTAAAGTTCTGCTTAAATCAATTTAAACCAGAGGTTAGCAAACTGTAAAGGGACAGATAGTAAATATTTTAGGTTTTGCCAGCCATTCAATCTGTGTTGCATCTACTCAACTCTGCTGTTGCAGAGAAATATGTAAATGAATAGAGGTGGCTGTGTTTCAATAAAAATGTATTTACTAAAAACAGGCAGTGGATCAGATTTGGCACACAGCCTGTAGTTTGTAGATCTTTAGAAAACTGTTTGCAAGATTCTATCATCCAAAAATATTTTGACTGTACCTTTTAAACAAGCACAATGAAAGTGTGGGAAAAGATCTACAGGTGGGAACTCGGCATAACCCGGATCACTCAAGTGAGTGCACGGGAGATACCACGTGAGAGAAGGGGCCCGTTACTACTAGCATTAGTTACCCAAAAACGTGATCACATTTTACCTACATTCTCCATTTTAATTCTGACAAAAACTTTGTGTTGTGGTAGTTTGGTGTCTTCACGTCGGTTCCGACTCATAGCTTCTCTGCACCACAGAATGAAACTCTGCCCAGACCTGTGCCATCCTCATAGTTGTTATGTTTGAGCCCATTGTTGCTGTCACTACATCAATCCATCTCCATGAGGGTCTTCCTCTTTTTCTCTGACTCTCCACTTTACCAAGTATGATGTCCCTATCCAGGAAATGTCCCTCTTGAAAACATGTCCAAAGAACTAAAGATGAAGTCTGACCATCCTTACTTCTAAGGAGTATTCTTGTACGTATCCCCAAACAGACTTGTTTGTTCTTCTGGCAGTATTTTCAATATTCTTCACCAACACCACAATTTAAGTGCATCGATTCTTCTCTGGTCTTCATTGGCCAACTTTCACATGCATATGAAGCAATTGAAATTGCCGTGGCTTGGATCAGGGGTTCCTTAGTCTTCAAACTGACATCACTGCTCTTAAACACTTTAGAAAGGTCTTTTGCAACAAATTTGCCTAATGCAATACATCTTTTGATTTCTTGACTGCTCTTTCCATGAGTGTTGATTGTGGTTGTAAATGAGTGTTCCTCCAATCTCGTTGCCATGTTCTTCTTCATATAGTCCAGCTTCTCAGATTATTTGCTCAATGTATATATAGAATTGTTGTTAAGTGCTGTTGAGTCGGTTCCAACTCATAGCAACCCTGCATAGGGTTTCTGAGGAGCGGCTGGTGAATTTGAACCTTCAACCTTACAGTTCAAACTGACCTTTTTGTCCAGTGTTTATCCTCCAACACCACATGTTGAAAGGATATAACCATGGTGCACAGCTTTCCTGATTAGAAAATTACAATCCCTATTTCCCAGATGTTTAAGATTATGAAAATGTTAAATGATTAAATTGCAGAGCCAACTTTCAAACCAAGACCGTCTCACCCCAATGCCCATGCTGCTTATACTGCTGTGCGACTAGTTGGCCTTCACAGGGCTTCCTCTTTGGGGGTGGCTGCTAGCTTTTCACATCAAAACAGGACCTGCAGGACCAAGGGCAGAACTGAGGGGGGTAGAATCTGCAGGTGGAGTAACTTCTTTATCCAATTGGCTAGTCAAGCAAGTCACACATATATCCATCATCAGGGTTTGAAGATTTCCACTTCTGTGTGCCAGCAGTTCTGAGCTTTGTCACGTTAATCTCTGGTCTTAACCAAAGCCCATGTTCACATTTACTCCACAAATGGAGGTCATCAGCCAGGTAGGGAAGAGGCACTAGATTTACAAAGTGAATGTTTACTTAACCCTTTCCAGAACCCCAGAGTACAGTCATTTCAGCTCATGCCTCGAGGATGTTTTCTGAAAAAAGAAAGTGCTTTTTCAGCACTCTTGGTGTCTGATTTCAAACCCTGCCCTTCTATCAGGTGATTCTAAGTGGGTTGATGATACTGCCTTGTTTTTACTCGTTTTCCCATAGGGTTTAGTCACCCAGGTTTCTTCAGTAACACACTAGGGATCAGGGGATCTCTTTTTTCAAACTCTGTAGAGGATTTAGTTTTGTGTTCATGTGAAAGTGTAGAAATGTTGACCCAAGTTGTTCCATCGATGAGCTTAGGTTATGATCTCTTTGATTGAAAGAGTTTTGCTGTATCTAACTGACCTCCTAGTGTGAGCAGGAAGCATGATGTTCAGCATCCCCTTTAGAGAACACTGAGCTTCTGTTAGGGGTGATGGTCTAATTTGGGAACAGATAAGGGTGATGCTAGAACAACATGATGATCATAATTAATTAATGTCACTGAGCCATACATGTGAAGATTGTTGAAATGTCAAAGTTTTTGTTACAGATATATTTATCACAATTTAAAAAAAAAAAATTAAAGAAATTTCAAAACTGAAAAAACTAATCTACAGTGACAAAAAAGTAGTTCAGTGGCTACCTGGAGTCAGACGTGGGGATTGGGGTTGATTGGGAAGGGGCACAAGGGAACTTTTTGGTGTGGTAGAAATGTTTTCTATTTTGACTATAAGGGTGCTACATGGATATTAATATTTTTCAAAGCTTATCTAATCATATATTAAATGCATTTGGCATGGAGATTAAGCTTGATTGGAAAGGGCACAAAGGAATAATATGGTGTGATGGGAATGTTTTTTATCTTGACTGTGTTTCTGCTATATAGATGTTGATATTTGTCAAAACTTAGCAAACTGAGTACATAAATGCATTTTATTGTGCATAAATTAACTTTCATACGGTTATTGTTTTTAAAAAAAACTGTTCATCTTTTAGGAGAATTTAAAGAGAAGGGGAAAAAAGCATTGTAGATCACTAACAGAAGATGGCAGCTTATGAATACAGGGGGAAAATAACCCAGATTTCGCATACTGAAAGAAGAAACCGAACACTCAACATCATTTATATGGTACCTTAGCCTACCAAGGCTAACTCTGCAGAATAGCATTTACTTTGACCCCTGTTTTACATATGAGAAACCTAAGGATGAAAAAAGTGGCCCAGAGTGATGACTAGCCAAGAAGTTGACAGTTTGAATCCACCCAGTGGCACCGTGGGAGACAGGCCCGACAATTTGCTTCTGAAAACTCACAGCCTTGAAAACCCCATGGAACCATTTTACATTGCACACACAGGATCACTGTGAATTCCAATAGAGTTGACAGCAACTAACAGCAACAGGATTTTTTCAAAGGCAAATACTCGCTCAACTTCTGAGCTGAAGCAGGACTCCCTTCAACGATTCACACAAAACCCAAACTATTCAGCTCTAAGTGTAAATGCACAGGGATGTTCAACAGCTCCGGAACATTGAAGACATGGGTGTCACCTGCCCAGCTTCACTGGAGTCCCTGGATGCTATAAATGGTTAATGCTCTTGACTGATAACCAAAAGGCAGGTTTGAATTCACCCAAGTCACCTCAGAAGAAAGACTTGGAAATCTATTTTCCAAAAAATCAGCCATTAAGAACGCTGTGGAGCACAGTTCTATTCTGGCATACCTGGTGTTACCATGAGTTGGAGTCAGTTCTACAGCTACTGGTCTGGGATTACGCCATAGACCACACCCACTGGGTTGGCTACCATTGCCCTTGGCAGCTTAGGGTCTTGTCCCATTCTTCATTCTGTGTGATTCTTGTACTACACTAGAATATCCCTAATTGTCTGCAAGTACTTCATAATTAATCAAATTAAAGTTAATTTCATTTTACTTAAGAGATATCCTGGCAATGTCCAATTATGATGTAACTTCACAATTGGAGAGATTTTTTAATCATGCCTCCATTATATATTAACAAGCTCAATTCCAGAGAATGTACACAAGAAATAAGTAAACAGTCAATTGATGATAAACTTGACCGTATAACTTTAATCAATGAACTTACCTTTTCGGAACATAAAGAGATCCAATCTTTTAAAAAAGAATTAATAAATGCTTCCTAGTTTACCTGGATTCTCTTATGTTAAATTTGTTTGAGGTAGGGTGCATAAATTTAAATGAATTTTAAAGAACTAAGTACATTTAAGTTCTGGTATCGCGCTGTGGGTTAGTATGCTGGACTGCAAAGTTGATTTGAACTGCAAGGTCAGTGGTTCAAGATCATCATTACTCCTTGGAAAATATACAGGGTGGCTATGCTTCAAAACCAACTCGATGGCACTTAACAACAACAAGTACAGTAAAAGGAAAGATAGTGGAATTTTTGGATAATATTTCTTTATTAAGGAAGTCAGAATTAAGAACTACTAAAATTAACTCTCAAGAGGCCATTGAGTTGACATTTTAATTTCAGGAAAAGAATGTTGTAGATATCCTCTGTATGATTTCAATTACCAATAACATGGGTCTTGCTAGATCTCTGTTTGTTCCTACATAATGGAAAATAAAGTTCATTTGTTCTAGCAAATCCCAGGGATGAAGGTCAAAGTCAAGGATAACCCCACTGTCCCACTGTACTGGAACAAACGGACTTTGTTGCAAAATGGGAACAAGAATTATAAGAAGCAAGATGGTGAAGCAAGTGAAGGCATGCTTTACAAAACCAAGTTTCCACGTTGTCCCTGTGTATTCACAGAAACAACCCAGGTCTTTGGCAGAAAGCTAAGTAGCTCTACTAGAAACAAATCCACAGATTTAAATAACAGGCTACAGTGTATAAAGAGCTCCATGACTTTCCCCTTCTAACCCCAACTCAATATCACAGTTGGCTTTTGTTTTGTGAATCATACACTGCCCTTTCTTCACTACAGTGATTCACACAGAAGCAGAGATACAATGAGTGTTCCACCTTGGAACACTAGTTCGTTCCCCCCAAGTCTGGAAAATGAGCATCATCTCTGACAGGCTCCATCTCACCCACCTCCCTCCTCCCCGCCCCCTGGCTTAGAACCCACTATCTCTTGAATTTTACACGATGGCAGATAATCTCCCTGCCCTCACCCATACTCGCTTGACTCTGAGCAGCCACGGCCACACCACTTACGTTTTTGCCAGAGCATGGTCTGTGACAGGATGTTGCCTTTTCTCTTTGAAGCAGACAGCTTGGCTTCTTTAATGTGAGACCTGGGTGTGCTTTCTTCCAGTGTAGCCACTGCTTGCTCAGAGGATGTTTCCTCAGCTTTTTAAAAGCCCAAGTTCCCGCTGTGTGGGGGCACAGCGTCATCACATCCTCCCACCGCAGGCACGGGTGCTCTTGCTCTTCAGCGACAAGTGCCCGTCACCCCACTGTGCGCACCCTCAGAACCTGCTGTCTACAGACCACCTCATGCGCAAAGCCAGACAGCTGGGTTTGAACAACAACATGACATAGAAGCCCGTGGCCCTTTGGATGTGGCCACATAGTGTGTTGTTATACATATGTGCATGTGGAGTGAACTGTGTGAGTATGTCTGTCTCATCTTGTGCCTCTTTATACCAAGATGAATCCAAAAGAAACCCTGGGAGATGCTGGACTTTCTGTGGTACCTGTTAAGGCTTCTACTCCACCAGGGTGTTAGCAGGGCTCCGTTCACCATGGGCTCCTGCTCAACGGAAAATATGATTCCCAGGGGTCACTGCTTCTCAACACAGAAGGAAACACCTGTAGTCTCTTCAAGCTTCACTAAACAAACTCTTCATTCTTTTAATACTGTATTGCTTTTCTGTTTATTTCATTTTGAAACACAATAGCCTCCCTCTTGCCACCAGCCACCACCAAAATGGCCAGACTTCATCATACTTAAACATGGGGGACACTGGTTCTAATGGTTGATAAGCCAGAGAAACAGACCAACTCCCTCAGGAAAGAAAGAAGACACTGTACTTTTTAACTAGAGCTGTTCACTCAAAGGGGACATACAGGCAGGACATAAGGAGTGTCCACCCACCTGATTGGAGTCCTCATATGGTCCTATGGGATAAGCACTGGACTGCTAACCACAAAGTCGGTGGTTCAAACCCACCAACCGCTCCTTGGGAACCGTATACAGGATAGATGTGAGTCAGAACCAACTTGACAGCACTTAACAATAGCAATCTACCTGATTGACTTGAAACTTCTCAAAGGAAAGAAACGTAATGGATGTACCACCTGGTTGCATATGGGGTTTTAGACTATAGGACTCCTTAACAGATTGAAAACCTTCTGCCACTGTCTCCAAAGTCTATATGTGCAGGCCTCAGTGACATAATTCATCAGGGATTAATACAACCTAGGACGGGTCTGGGGTCCTGCAGCTCTGCCATCTACACTGCCTAGATTTGATCACGCCATTCCTTACTAAAGAAGCCTTTACTTTAGGATATATGGAAGTCCCTCACGACCGATCCCTTGCCTACTTTCCCAGTCTCATCTCCCACCTGCCCCTCTACTATGCATCCCCAATGTCTTCTAACAACCCCTCAACATCCATGTACATCCCTGCCTTTGATCCTGCTGTCTTCTCTCACTAGATTGCCCTTCCACATCTCCTCACCTGAACATTATTACCTCTTCATTTTTCAAATGGCATCTTTTTGGTAGAAAAAAAAATCTGACCTACTAAACCTTCTAGTTCTGAGAAAATTAGTCTGTCTTTTCTCAATTTCCGAGCATTTGTCTGTTCATTCTTTTAAGTAAGCTGTTATATTACTGTACAGATTCCTCCAGGTCACCTCAGTTTTATTTCCCCAGTGCCTCACACAGGACCTCAAGCCTAATTGGCCTTCAGTGAAAGCTAATTTAATGAAGTAATGCATTTTTCACTCTTGGGTTGTTGGTCCTAAGGAGAAATTTTGTCCACATGAACGACTAACTCAAAAGACAGAAAAGATTGTCTCTGAGCTGAGTTTTGAGACCTCACCCCAAGACCATTGATCCTCAAGACATGAAGGACCCAGTATTGTAGGTGGCTGGCAACACCATGGTCTTGCAGGTAGCAAAAGTGTCACACACAAAGCCTTGTGCCACATTGTGAAGTTTCCACTGGAATTAGTAGCACATTCACAAGGCCTGATTCAGTCACAGGAGACATGGGTTCCCAACAAGGCTTTGCCACTTAGTGGCTTCATCTTCTTAAGTAGGTCATGTGATCCCTCTAAGTCTCAGTCCCCTTGTTTATAAAAATGAAGAAGCAGTTCTCTGAATGCCTGACAGAGTTTTGAGGAGGATTCGTAATTTCCCGAAACTTTTCTCACATTGCTCTGTATTATGGTTATCTGTCATATTCTCTCCAAGTTCCATGAAATGAAGAACTTTTTCTTACCCATTTTTGTTTCTCCCTATGAAATAATAATGAAATACTTACTCTGCTCCAAGTCCCATGTTAAGCCTTTCTAAATGTTATTTAATTTAGTAATCACAACAACTCGGTGAGAAATGTCTATTTTCCAAAGAAACAAACAAACACTGAGGAAGTTTAATGTGCCAATGACACAGGGTTATGAGGTGATAGGCTGGGTTTGAACAGAGTCTGAGCTCTAAATAATGACACTAATAGACATTCATTAAGTTGAAATTCGTAAAAGTTGGTGTCAGAAATATTTATTAACAACACTGTAGGATCATTGTAATTAGAAACTAGAACAGATTAAGAGAAATTTCCCCACCTAAACATCACTTCTTCATTTTTCAAGATTCAGTTTAAATGGCACCTTTCTGGTGAAAAAAATTCTGACTCAACAAACTTTCTAGACCAGAGAAAGTTAATCCCTCTTTTCTCAGCTCCCACATTATCCTTGGGATAAATCCCTGTGCTTAGGAGATAGGGGAAAATGAAAAGAAACCCAGAGGTACTCTGAAAAATCATATCTTGTGTAGTGGCAGAAAAAAAAAAAAAAAAATCAGCAGGCAAACCCACTCTCTTATTTATCTACTGCTGCTATAATGGAAATACCACAGTGAATGGCTTTAGCCACCAGAAACTTATTCTCTCAGTGTAAGACTGGATGTCCAACTTCAGAGTGCTGGCTCTTGAAGAAGGCTTTCTCTTTGTTAGCTCTGAGTAAAGTTCCTTGTCTCCTTTCAGCATCTGTAGTCCCAATATCCCTTTGAGATCTTCTTACATTTTGGCCTCAATGTTTCCCTGGTTCTGGGAGCTTCACAGTGCAGGGACCCCCAAGTCCAAAGGATGCATGCCACTCCCAGCACTTCTATCTTGGTGATACTAGAACCCCCTTTCTCTGATCAAGTCTCTCTCATTTGATCTCTTGTAAGATAAAAGGTGCAGCATGCCACATCTTTGGGAATCTCCCATAAGAGTGGTCAGGGTGGTAACGGGATTAAAGGTGTTGTTGTTGTTATTAAGTGGCATTGACTGGGTTCTGACTCATAGCAACCCTGTACAGGATTACCAAGGAGCAACTAGGAGCTTGAACCACCAACCTTGAGGTTAGCAGTCCAGTTCTTATCCTATATTGCCATACCAGGACTCACCTTTAATCCTCTTATTGGTTTATCAGATTAAATCACATCATGTGGCATATTTACATCTCAACTGCCAAACCACTGGGAATCCTGGCCCTGCCAAGTTGACACAAAATCTTAACATTGCACAACCACCATCACGGACAGATATAAACCCTGCCGCCTCTGATAGCCTCGAAGTTCAGAAAGCCAGTGCTTCCTCAGTGCTTACAGAAAAGAACCTGAGTATCTTTGACCAAGTATAGGCAGGCATTTGGGAACTTGACTCAATCAAAATGGCAAATATTTGCCAGGCAGATATATTCTGTGACTCAGAATCAAAAGTCAAACTACGCGGCACAGTTCAAAAGAGACACCGGTGGTCATGGTTATTCAATACCTCAAGATGTGCAGGAACAGAAGAAAAAAAAAGTCTGCCAACATCATCCAAATGTCTGTGCATACAGGTGAGCTCCCATCTGTAAAAAATCAAATAAACTAAAATCAAAACTCCTGAAATAATTCATTCAGGAGCTCCGATTCATTTTGCAAAGGATTCAACTTTGCCAAAAGACTTCATTTCTTTCTTCATTCACCAAAGATTAAGCGAGTGATCATTATGTTTCTTTGCCCCTGCCAGGCCTAATTTTTTCTTTTCATTAGAACTTGAATTGTACCTTTCAGTCCAACTCACTTTATCATCATTGTTGTTGTTGTTGTTGTTAAGTACCGTAGAGTCGGTCCTGACCCATAGTGACCCTGCACAGGGCTTCCGAGACTGTAAATCTTTATGGGAGCAGAAAGCCTCATCTTTCTCCCATGGAACAGCTGGTAGTTTCGAACTGCCAACTTTGAGGCTAGCAGCCTGATTTGTAACCACTACGCTACCAGAAAAGGTCCTTCTATTTATTTGTTTGTTTATTCCTTTATTCCTTCCTTCATTAAGTTACTCACTCATTTAGTCTCCTCCTCATTTTACATGCCCATTCTTTCTCCTGATGTGGCTCTGCAGGATAAACACTCGACTGCTAACCGCAAGATTGGTGCTTCAAATTCTCCAGCCGATCCTTGGAAACCCTATTCAGGTCACTATGAGTTCGAACCAACTGGATGACACTTAACGACAACAACAACATTCTTTCTCCTATTCCTCTTCATTCCAATCCACCATTCCAATCAAGGCAACTATTTTCATCTGTTTGATGTTGAGCCTATGGTTTGTAGACATTTGCACATTTTATAAAAGATATATTATATTGCATGTGTGTATTTTTGTCATGTAAATAGCTTTGTATTCGTTAGCCTGTACTCTTGCACTATCCTTTAACATCCATCCACACTGCTAGATATATACTCAATCTGTTCCTTCTAATGACTGCAAAGTATTCCATGGTGTGTAAACACTACATTTTACCTAACTAGGTTGTCTCCAACTTCCCTCCTTTATACAAAGCAGCAACGAATATCCTGAGCTGCATCTTTTCCCAGAGGCATGTGAGAATATCCCTGGGATTATATACCCAGGATAGAATTACTAGGTCAAGAAATATAGCTAATAATAAATGAAGTAATATTACATGTAAGACATATTTATTAGTAATATTATAGCATCATAAGGAGCTCTGGTAGCATAGTAGTTACAGGTTGGGCTGCTAACCTCAAGGTCAACAATTCAAAACTACCTGCTGTTCCACAGGAGAAAGATGAGACTTTCTGCTCCCCTAAAGATT